GGTACCCATACTCCGACATATGAATGGACCATATTGACTATAAAGAACCTACCCTGAAATCGTAATGGTTCACATGTTAGTGGTTGTGGCCTCCCCCCTTGGCTGGGATGCCCGCCAGCTGAGAAGGAACGGCTGCAGCTATGGCTCCCAGATTTGGTACCCATGGTCCTACATACCAATGGACCATATTAGCTATAAAGAAGCTACCCCCAAATCCCCTTTCTTGGTCTCCTAGAATATGCCCTCCTGCCCATGGTACGCATTTTTCGCCCATAGCACCGGCATCAGACCTCCAATCGCCAAGCGGCTTGGCACCAATGTTCACACATACAAATGAAGCCTTTTGCTATAAACAAGCTTCCTGCCAAGTGCTGTTGTTGTGGCTCTGCACATAGCAAAAATGCGCCTATTAACAAAAAGAATTGCCCACTGCTCGAAAACCGGTCCGCCGATTTCCCTGAAACTTTGCACCCATCATCTACATGATATAGACGTCCTACATACCAACTTTCAGCCCGAAATTCCGGTACCCTCTTTTGTAATTAATTCCTAACTGACCCCTATTAAAAGCAAGCCTACCCAAGTAGCTCTTGATGGGCCAGGTGGCCAACTGACCCAGCTTATACTACATGTATGTACCACTATAACCACCGCAAAGCTCCTGGGCCACAGTTCTTTATGGCTATTAAGTCAGGTTACAGGAGGACTACTCATTGGATCATACATGCTTGTACTATACTACCAGGGAAGGTCAGTGGGGCTGTCAATTGGGGCATGGGGTGTTGTAATGTTGGCCTTTGCCAGTGGGTGTGAACAGTGAAGCAATAGACAACTGGACCTTCACATCGGGTCTTTGAGAGCTGGTACCCACATCCTGACAGTCGTTATCAAGGTGGCAGCTGATGTCCTTCTCTGGGACCTGTCGAGAACAGACAGGACTGGCGCTGTTACGTCAGACTTGGGTTGAGGCAGTCATGACTTCCCAGCCTAAACCCTAATAATGGCTAGATGTGAACAGGTGAGGAGAGATGGGCTTGTTCAATGACCAATGAGACCACATTTACTTACAGTTAGGTATAGCCCTGGTTAGCACCCTTGACAAGGGGTTAACTTCCATCATGTTCCATGTAATTTTGACTGGTGTAGCAAGGTGAAAGAACACGTATGCACAACATTGTCCCTCACAAAACTGTTGTCATTTGACTGTTGACCTTGCAAGAGATGTGCTATACCCTGGGCCAATATAATACACACACTTCCTTAATGCAACAATATTTAATGACCAACTATGCGTTTATGGAGGCTATTTCCTGGATCCACATCTTCCATCACTGCATGAAACTAGAACAAAAAAGGCACATACCTACCGCTATAACAAGAGTCTGAAAGCGTCTAAGTGGCAACTTCTAAAGCTTAGACCACAGTGTTGCTGTATGCTCATTGCTGGCATTGTGCACTGATACCTATCATTTAGTTGGTGCACTTTCACTTACAACCAGCATGGGGCAGGCACCGCATGAGGAATACTGAAGGGTTGCTGCAAAGGGTGCACACATCTATATGGATCATTCCAGAGAGCATACTATTCATTGTCAAGCTCATTCCATGTACCTCAACTCCAGTAACTCATGAGCATATTGAGAGAACAACTGAGTATAGACCTCACATAGCCTGCAAACCCAATCCTTGTTTACCACACAAGAGAAAGTCTTGAGCACATCCACTGTACAGAGATGTCAGGATTGCTGGACTTACAACCACCCAGAAGCTTGTTACAGTTGCTGGTGGCAATGCCACGTGGCTGTCAGCTGCTACCCCATTGCACATGTGAGGGTGATCACGTTGCAGTAGCTTATGCACAGCAAGTCCAGGCTGGTCTGGATAAACCCTAGGGATATCATGCCTGCAGTGTCACAGCTGTGTGATGTTATGTCAGTGAGCTGCACAAAATCCTATGCAAGTGTGTGTTATTTATCAGAGCATGCAGGACATATTAAAATGGAATTCCACTACTTTGTTCTCCTCATGCTTAGTGATCTACTTTGTCCCAAATTAGGCACCTAGCTGCCAAGATGTGACAAACCTTTCATGTATACTGAGGGTATCAACCCAGCCCAGGCTTGTCAGCAAATGAATACCCATTATTGTAGACTGTGGCTAGCCACCACACCAAGACTGAGAGCAATGAAGAAGTGCAGCCGAGGACAGCATTAGGGTTCGGTTAGCCATTAGTTAATTCAGATAATCATTAATGAGTGCATTGTGCATGCAAGGGGCATCACATCCCAATAACCTGTACCCAACTTATTAATTAACCTTGTGTACCAAACTGACGGTGTAGCAAACATGTAGGGCAATAATGAAGTGAAACTTAGGACTGCAGGATTGTTTCCAACAATTGGTTCATGAATGCAAGCATTGACAAGTGTGTCTAATTCTAAGACAACAGATTCTAAGAGTGTTCCAGAAATGGCCATTTAATTGTATGCACTGTTACTCTCATTGTGCTACAGTGCCATTGCTTACATGTCAATAGCTGTACAACAAATAAGTACTGAAGGTCTTGGGGACGGGAAACTAATGTTTGGGCATGAAGTGCCTGGCATATATGAGCATTTAGATGTGCCAAATGGGGAAGGCCATACCCAGCCATCTTTCTATTAAACTGCTCATGGCATCTGCCAGGTGTTGGAGCCTTGACAGCCACAATAGTGCTGCTACTAAGAAGATGAGCACTGTATTTGGCAGAACATTATGGCACACACTCTTCCACATTGCAGGATAACGATAGAGTTCAGGGGGACAGAAGGGTTGCCTATAAGGGTTGGATACGAGACAAGAAGAACAATGTCACTGATGAGATAATGATAGTGTTAAGGGAGACAGAAGGGTTGGATATAAGGCTTGGATATGAGCCAAGATGAACAATGTTACTAATGAGATAATGATAGACTTCACGAGGACAGAAGGGTTGGCTATAAGGCTTAGATATGAGATAAGAAGAACAATGTTACTGATGAGATAATGATAGACTTCACGAGGACAGAAGGGTTGGCTATAACGGTGAGATGTGAGACAAGAACAACATTACTAATGAGATAATGATAGTGTTAAGGGAGACAGAAGGGTTGGCTATAAGGCTTAGATATGAGACAAGAAGAACAATGTTACTGATGAGATAATGATAGTGTTAAGGGAGACAGAAGGGTTGCCTATAAGGGTTGGATATGAGACAAGAAGAACAATGTCACTGATGAGATAATGATAGTGTTAAGGGAGACAGAAGGGTTGGATATAAGGCTTGGATATGAGACAAGAAGAACAATGTTACTGATGAGATAATGATAGTGTTAAGGGAGACAGAAGGGTTGGCTATAAGGCTTAGATATGAGACAAGAAGAGCAATGTTACTGATGAGATAATGATAGACTTCACGGGGATAGAAGACAATCAGGCTGGGTATCTGTAATCAACAGCAGCAGCACATACTGAAGGATGGGATAAACTGGGACAATAGATGCCCCGGGAGCAGGGGCCCCACAGGGGAAGTTGCACTCCTGGCATGCGGGGTGTTCATGTAGAACAAACAACCCGAGCATTGTGACCCGAGGATGGTGTCCGAGTAGCGGTTGCGCGACAGGTGGCGGGTTGCCCCCGAGGGAGGGTGAGTCTGAGAGCCACGCATGCGAGGGGCGGCCATAGGGGTGTGAGTCCGGGACGCACACTGACGTCGGAGGGGCCGCGGGTATGGAAATCCCCGTCTCACGCTAACAGGGGAGGGGCCGCGGGCATGTGAGTCCCGGAGCCACGGATGCGCGGGGAGGCCGCAAGAGGGTAAGTCCGCGACTCACGCTGACATGGGAGGGGACACGGGCATGTGAGTCCCGGAGCCACGGACGCGCGTGGGGTCCGCAAGAGTGTAAGTCCGCGACTCACACTGACATGGGAGGGGGTGCAGGCATGTGAGTCCCGGAGCCACGGACGCGCGTGGGTTCCGCAAGAGTGTAAGTCCGCGACTCACACTGACATGGGAGGGGGTGCAGGCATGTGAGTCCCGGAGCCACGCACGCGGGGGGCAGGCGCGACGGTGCGAGTCCGTGACTGAAGCGGCCGGGGGAGGGGCCGCGGGGATGTGAGTCCGGGACTCACACATTGATGCATTAGAAATTAAATGGACAGTTGACCGGTGGAAGGGTTGAGCCTCATGGAATTTTAATGAGAGCTAACCATTTATAGTAAGACTGCTGGGGCTTACAATCTGCCTAATGAGCGGATGGCGGGTAAACGGGTGGGTATTAGCCTGACCTAACCGAACCAACGATCAGACATTGCGTGCGCACTAGTGGCGGATATAGTGTCGGCCGAGAGTTGAAACGTCCAGCGGGCCTTGGTAGGGAGCGGCTGCGTTGGGCGTAGCAGATGTGATCGGATTGCCGTGTATATATACGTCGGGCAGGCGCATCAACAGCGCCGTCCCTTCCTCATCCTTTCCCCCCCAACAAGCCGCTGCACACCGTATCCATCTTACCATGAACTGGAGTCCAGAGTCAAACGCTGACGCGCATCTGCCGCGCTGGCAAATTAGCCTGAAAAAGTTCACTCGGATCGCGAAGGGCATCTGGCGCGGGAGGCAAAGCGCACCCGAAAGGGTCGACTACGAGTTCGTGCTGGCAACCCTGGCGGGCCGAGCCTACAACCCCGACAGAGCACGGGAGGAGCGCCTCTGGGTCAATGGGTGTATGAACAACAGCATGCCTCCTCATGTGGAGGACGTCGACGCCCTCCCGGACAACGACCACTATAGTGTGACACGGGACTTTGATTCCATGTTCGGTATGACTCGCAATCTGCCGTACAACAGTCCAATCCACGTCTATCCGGTGTGCGACTTTCGTCAGACCCTCACAACAGATATACACCTCACGTGGCGCATCAGGGTCGGCGGGGTGAGCACGGCAGTGAAATGCTCTCCGCATATGACTGACATCCATCCACAGCGAATGAATGAGGTCCCGCTTAGCCACATCCCGAACATGTGCTTCGCCAAGGTCGGCACGCACGCGAAGATCAACATCATGTTCCCGGCGTTGTATGCTTCTGGGGAGTCCCGCAAAATTCCAGAAGACCTCCTCACAATGTTCTACGAGAGGGTCTTCCGCCCCAGTCTGGTGGCAATCAACTTCCCGCATATCGGGCATTGGCCCCCGAGCTCCGCAGCCGCGTGGGCACTTTTACGCGGGGTGGACGGAACCCTGCAGTTCAAAACCATCTCCATCCCGAGTAGGTCACTCCGCGAGCTGGCCACTGAAGTGTGTCGCCGCATGGACGAAATCCGCGAGTTCAAGGATGCGTTCTGGTACCACGAGGTGCGCGGAACCAAGGGCGGTACTCTCCATAACCCCCACGACGATCGCCAGGCTGCAGACGCCCTGCACCTGGCATTCAAGGATCTGGACTTTACGAAGATCAGCAACGACGATCTCGCGCAGCGCTGGTTCGTCGACGTCGGCATCGAGGTCCGCCACCCGGGGCACGTGGTGCACTGGCGCAGCGACACCCACATGGAGGTTCTCCAGCACGCGATGCCGTCAGCCATGCCGGCCGCCGTCGAGTCTTTCAAACGCGGTAGCAACTTCACGCTGGATCCCTGCGCCCAGATAAGCGACATCGCCGGCTTCCGTGCAGTGACCAAAACCATTGGCCTCGGGGACGGTGTCAGGTACATCAACGTATACAGCACGGAGAAGGAGCTGCACTACCAGATCCTCAAGGGTACGTACAAGGAGATAGAGCCTGCCGACTTCTTTCCGTCCAAGCTCGCGCGCACGATGACGCGGATAAACGTCTGGACGAAAGCCCTGTCAGATGCGGCCGAGAAGACGCAGGAGGCGTCCGCGCGGTACGAGGTGCGAGTCCCCGCAAACGCCTGTGGGGGCGTCTTGCGAGAGATTCCATACGATATGCTGGGGAGAGTGTGCGTGAGCGTACGAGCAAAGACGTGGTGGTAAGTGATTGCAACCCAAGTACTCAGTTGAATAACCACGAGGACTTACACCGAGGCCTTTAACCAGGTCTTTCAAATACTGGCGAGTCTTTGGGTGCTACAGTGTCCTCGACAACTTCCGGCGCGCCCCACCGCGATTCCGGATCACTCCGCCGTGCCTCCAGCTGGGGGCCACGATTGCGCACATCCTCAACAGCGTATGGTATCGAACAAACTCGAGGAACCCCTGGCCGCTGCTGGAGGAGACGGTCGCGATGCTCCAAGACGAGCAAGCCGGTACAGATGACGAGATGGACGACGACATGCTCGAGGGTGACAACATGTCCCCGATCGCAGGGCATCAGGGGCTGTTTTTCTTGGCCGCAATACGGTCGTCGAACGGGTTTTTCACGTGCAACAGCAAGCGCGTCATGGACACCCCTAATCTCTGCTACCTCCACAGGGCAGCTGACGTGACCGCCCTCACTGCACACTTCGGCATCACAAGTATCAAGGTAGTGCCCAGGCGTGGGAACATCGACCGACGAGACAACCGCCAAGCCGTGACGAATTCGGCACTCGACGCACGTACGATCCCTCTGCCAGATCTCGATCTTGGGCTCGATGCACAAGGCGTGGAGGTGCGTCTTCGTGGACAGCAAGGACGCCACATTCGCCAGGCGGCTCAGAATGACGGAGGTGAAGGAGCAGTCGAGGCCATGACGATGAACGCACGGGTGGTGCGGCTGTGGGAGCAGTTCAAACACGACCTCATCGCGAAGGCGCCTCAACGCCGCGGGGTTGGCAATGCGCGGTACATGACCACCACCGTCCTCGAGATTGCAAACACCCCCGACTCCCTCTTCCAAAACATCGAGCTCCCGTTTTCGATTTGCCGTGTTTTATTGGTCGACGGCAACTTCTGGTCAACTGCAGTCCTGGACCGGTATTTCCCTCCTCCTGGGACCGTTATCAACGTCAGATTGCAGAACTACACCCAATGCAGCTACTGGCGTGAGTATGGCACCATGACGAGGGAATACGCCCCTGCCACCGTTGCTCTCTTACGGGCGGCTTTGCGGAAGCTTCTCCTCGGGTTACTCTGGGTTCCTTTCCCCGAAACAACGCGGTTCTGGGCCACGCGTACAACCGGACACACTACGTCAGTCATGATGCCACGCCGGGCTGTCGGACCCGCACCGCTGCTGGCGTTGAACCCGTTCAAGTACAATGGGGAAAGGTTGACGCTCCGCCCGCAGCCACAGAACGTGCTCCGAATCAATGTTGACGACAGCGGCGACGAGGTCGGCGCAGGCGACGATGGCGACGGAGGTGAGGATGACGAGCCGGTGGAGCAGGAGTTTCAGCCTATGCGACCTGGTGCGCTGGACGATGACGAGCCGGAGGAGCAGGAGTTTGACAAAATGCAACCCGGTGACCACGGTGATGACTGGCTGGAGGGGTTCCAACAGCGAGATGTACCAGCCCCCGGGCCCTGTTGACGAGGATGTCGAGATGGAGGAGCAGGACGTGGGCCCGCGGGCTTTGTGCGGATGGAGGAAGAGGAGTCATCGCCACGCTAGTGACTCATTACTAAGTCGGTAGCTCACGCAACGCGATGCTATGTACTGGTGACATTGCAGATTCCGAATTGATATACTTGTGGTGGAGCAATGAGACAGAACAATTGTTGTATGTATGGGCCGCCGGCTGTAAGTCCGGGACGCACAACGCCCGCCTTGGTGCCATTCCATGCGCAACGTTCAGGCATGGCACGACGTGGGAGGACCGCCGCTGTGAGACCGGGACTCACACCGCGCTGCTGGGTCCAAGTCAGCCACGTGCCACCGCGGCTGCGCGTGCCCGACCACCCCGGGGCGCGATGTGTGCCTCCCGGACTCACAACCGCACGCCCGGGACCCGCGCCCACCGGGGTGGAGGCGCTGTCCGCAGCGGACCGGCCCGCGTGGCCTGGACGTGGCCGCCTGGCCCGCACGTGGACCGGTGCGAGGGACCCAGGCGGCGGGTGTGAGTCCGGGAGGCACAAACCGCGCCTCGAGGCGGTCGGGCACGCACGGCCGCGGCGGCACGTGGTTGACTGGGACCCAGCAGCGCGGTGTGAGTCCCGGACTCACAATGCACTGCGCCCCGGCGGAGCTGTCGGCCCGAAGGTCCCGATCTTCGCCGCATGCCCTAGGGTCCGTCATACGTATTAGTCAATTTGCTGATCTCCCGCGCGCGCCGCTTTACGACATACCCCGCCTCCGCGGCACCCGCCCATCAAGGCGTGCCCCTCCGCCAGGCTTCCATTGCCTGCAGGCGAGTACGCCGTGAAGTAGGGTCCGGAAAATTTCCATCGATAGCGCGTCACAGGCTCGCTGAAAGCCTATATATACTGGCGCCATTGCCGTCCTTCTCGACTTCCCCAACTTCCCCCACTCCAATAACCATCCCCCTGCTTAAAAGCCCACTGCTTCATTATGCCCGGCTGGACCATCCAACACTCGGTCTTCGATCTGATGGCGACGGTCCCGGAGTTCGTGACGGACGGCGCGTGGGCCACTCTGACCGGCAAGGACGAAGGTCTCCCCTGGGAGGACGGCTCCATCGAGCCATTGTGGGTCCAGGGCGGCACGGAGGAGCTGGAGGCTGTCCGCGCGTTTGTGGACAAGTACAAAGTTGTCCGCGAAGTCAACACCCGGCACGACCTTCTGACCAAGAAGGACCAAGACGGTGATGGCCGCACCACCATCACCCGATGGATCAAGGCACGCCTCAGCGTGTGGAACATCCGCTCGCGAATTCTGCAGGTCCTGGAGGACCGAGGGTGCGGCGCGTACGACGTCATGCGCGTCCTCAAAATGAAAAAGGTTAGTCCCCCACTATTATCTCAGGCATCGTGCTGACTCTCGTGTCGAGGTTCCTGGAATGGACGTGGCGAACATAGCCCGCCACCACGACTCCATCGCACACGAGCTCTTCGGCGACGGGGCGCTCATCGGCAACGACTTCCTCAAGCCTTGGGTAAGGGTGCCGTTGGGGCGCATCATCGGCGAGGCGTGGCACCGGGAGGACATTCGCATCAGCCGCGAGATCGACATGCTCGAGAAGGAGGCTGTCGCTCTCGACGAGAAGTTCAACGGTACGTCGTTTTCCACCACACCCGTGCTCCGCACTGAAGTGATCGAGTTTGCAGCTCTCACCAAGAAGACCACCGCGCGGACGGTGAAGGCGTATATCAAGCGCCTGGAGAGCAAGATCGCGATCGCGCAGAAGTACGACAACGCCATCGTCTGCGCCGCGTTCGAGCGCCAGCTGCAGCGGGTGAAGGAGATCGGCGACGTGCTCAAGGGCACGGTGACGGAGACCCCGAGTGCGTGAACGGTTCTTGGACCATATTGCGTTCTCCTAACATGTTCGCATGTACAGATCTTCCCAAGCGAGTTGTCGAGAGCCTCGCTCTCCTCGCGAAGGAAGAGGATGTCCTCGCGCTGACCGCCGAGATCGCCATGCTGCTGAACGACGACGAAGCTTCCCCCCTCGTGTTCGACATCCCCGACGAGGGCATGGACTTCACCGACTGGGGCTCCGGCGTCGAGGAGTACGAGGAGTGCACGATGGAGACCCTGTGGGGCTACATCGGGCGCCAGAAGGAGAAGACCATCCCCTTCTTCAACGTGAAGGAGAGCGCGAGCGGTCTCGCCGATCCCTGGTCCGAGCAGGGCATCAAGGACATGGAAGCAGACGACGCCGTCCCCCTCATCCCCCGGTGGCATCAGCTCGTCGGCATCGTCAAGATGCTCGACAATTACCTCTCCGGCCGTCCGACACTGCTCATGGACGGTGTGGGCGTCGGCAAGACCATGCAGGTCGTCGGGTTCATCTGCGTGGTCGCCTTCTTCCACGAATACTACTCGGTGCACGGCAAGTTCCCGGCAAATACGGTACGTGTTGTGTTCTCAAATGGTTACCGCTACTGAATGCTGTAGGCGACGTCAAATATCACGACAAGGGCAACACGCCTGACGAAGGCAACCTCCTCGTCGTCCCCGTCTCTCTCGAGATGCAGGTGCTCCGCGAGATCCGCCGATACCTCCGCCCGAAGACGTTCGACGTCATTTCCTACACGTCGACTGTGCGTGCGCCCGGCAAGTCCAAGGCGTTCTGGGCTGCCGTCAACAACTTCCAGCAGCCCCGATGGCGCCAGATCATGCTGGCAACCACCACGGTAAGTCGTCCATACTCCATGAAAGCTCAGCCAATCTGACGCCATCAGGCGGTCGCGGCGGACTGGGCGATCCTGTTCGACAAGAACCCGGGGCGCAAGTGGGAGGCAGGCGTGCCGCGATTCCCGGGCCCCCAGCGGGAGAAGAACAAAGCGCTCACAGTCTTCAACCGCGCGTGGGCATCGATCATCGTCGACGAGATCCACCTTAATGCGGACGATCAACCGGAACTACATCGCAATCCGTACACTTCGGGACCAAGCGGGCGGGATAATTGGCATGACTGCCACGCCGACCATGACGACGCCGATGGTAAGTCCCTCATCAGCTTTCCACCCATGTTGCCTCACATCTGCCAGGACCTGGCGCTGATCGGTCGTCTGATGGACGTGCCTGAGTTCGGCGAGGAGCATTTCAGCGAGATCGACGAGATCCGAATTCAGCTCGGCAAGTGTAAGAGCATGGACCGTAAGGCCCGCAAGGAGGAGGCCGCCGGCGCCGACGGCGGGAAAGGTAAGGGCAAAGCCCCGGATCGGCCGAAGCCGAAAATCTCGTACCTCATCGACTACACCATCGTCGTCATGATCGACTTCAGGGGACGCTGGTCTGGAATGGTCGTCCGACGCACGGTCAAGTCCAAGGATTTGCACGGCAAGGCGCTCAGTGGCTTGCCCCCGCTGCACACTGTGCACGTCCTGCTACGCCTGGCACCATACGAGCAGGAGATGATCGACGGGATCACGGAGGGAATGAGCCAACAAATCGGCTCAAACCCGTCTGTGGCCACTAACACGGTGAGTGCAAGCATCTGTTCGTGTCGTGGGCGGTAGGGCGTGAGTCCCGGAGGCACACGCTGCACGCCGGTGCCGGTTTGAGCACACGGCGTCTGTGCGTCCGGTTTGTGAGTCCCGGAGCCACATTGCGCGGCTGCTTCCCGCCCCACGATGTGCGACCTGGTGACCGGGCTAGGGCGCAGCGCGCAAACTGCCCGCGCGTTGTGAGTCCCGGACTCACAGCGCGCACCGCTGGCCTCGCCCTGGCCGCGCGCTATGGTACTGTCGTCAGCTGCCTGGCGAAAGTGGGAGGGCCACGCGCGGTGTGAGTCCCGGACTCACAGCGCGGGCCCCCGTGGCTGCTCGCACGTGCCGGGGACACGCCACGCCCAAGCGCCTAGCGGTAGAGCCGTGCGCCGTGTGAGACCCGGACTCACAATGCCCTGCGCGCTGCGTCTCCGAGAGAAACGATCTCAGGGGGGAGGGGGTCGCGCGCCGTGGGTCCCGGACTCACAATTCACGCCACTCTTGTGCGCGACAGAGCTGATCTCCTCTACAGAAATTCTATCTGGACCTCCGCCGCGCCACGTTCCATCTCTCCCAGTGCTCGCAGGTCGGTCTCGAGGTACCCGAGACGCTCGCGGACTTCGAGGCGTTCCCGACGGCGAAATTGTCCGCCCTCGTCACCATCATCCGCCACCACGCCACACCGAGGGCGCCCCCACTCGACATCTTCCACGAGCTGCGCACCGTCCCGCTCAAGGACCTCCCGCCCTACCCCGACGCGAACGCGCTCGTCCCTGATCCCGACTTCCCGGGCTATGTCGAGCACAATGGATCCGGGCCCGACAAGATCATCGTCTTCTCGTACTTCCCGTCGAACAACGAGTTGTTGCGCAACGTAAGTGACCGTTTCAAAAATGTTTTGCGTCGCTCATTGTTTTGTGGGCAGTTGTTCGCCGCGTACCAAATCGAGGCGGTGTTCCTGCACGGGGGTCAGACGGCGATGCAACGCACGGCGATCGTCAACAGGTTCAAGAAGTCCGGCGCAGACGGCCCCACTGTGCTCGTGATGTCGACCGTCGGCGCCGCGGGGCTCAACATGCCTTGCGCGAACATCATGATCTTCGTCGTAAGTACCTTCCCCGCATGTCCGGTTGTAAATTAGCTGATAATGATCAACACATCTGTACCACACACAGGACACAATGTGGTCTGCGCAGGAGACTGAGCAGGCGGAAGGGCGCATCCTTCGGTTTGGGCAAACCAAGGACTGCATCTCCTACCACCTGCTGCCCAAAGGCACGGCCGACATCTCCCTGTACCGCATGGCGCTGGACAAGGGGGTGATGCACCAGGCGTTCATCGAGGCGGACTTTTCCCTCAGTGAGTGCTCAGTTCCTCGTTCCTTCTTACTCACGCTCAACCTCACACAGAGAAAGTCCTCAACGGCATGGTCGGATTTGCCATGGCGAAAATCCTCGGCGTGGACTCCCTGGACTTGGGCCCAGACGAGGATGACGAGGCCCCGCCGACAGATCGCGAGGGCGATGACGAGGACGAGGCTGAGCCCAAGCCGAAAGGTAAGCGCGCTCCCAAGCCACGTACCCGGAAGGGCAAGACCAAGAAGTCTGCCATCAACGTCGACTCGTCCGAGGAGGACGCCCCTGGCCCCAGCAAGAAGGGCGAGACAAGCAAGGAGTCGAAGTCCTCGAAGGGCGCAAAAGGCAAAGGCGCGAAGTCTTCGAAGGGCAAGAAGCCTGAGTCCGAGGCGCCTGAGCCCGAGTCGGAGGATTCGGCGACCCCGCGCAAGGAGGCTACCACAAGTAGCACGGCACCCACGACAACGACGTCGGCACCGCCTGCCCCACCAGGTGAGTCGCAGGTGCCGGGTAGGCCTCGGCCCAAGCCGAAGAACGAGGCCCTTGCTGCACGCGTTGCTGCTGCCTCTGCAGCGGAGAAGGCCGCCGCTACGGCCTCGCGTTCGTCGACTCCGGCCACTGCACCAGCCCCGTCGCCCTCCCTCCCCGCGCCAGCTCCGTCGCCCTCTCCCCCCGCGCAAGTCCCTCCTCCGTCGCCGCTCACGGTCTTGCCGACCACACCGTCCGCTCCACCTCCGAGCGCGGAGGTCCCCGACTCGTCGATGCGAATGAGCATCTCCCCCCCGCCCCAGCCTTCACCTTCGGTATCTGCGCCGCTATCTCAACCTGATCGCGTACGTACTCCCCGGCCAGATACCGCCAACCCCACGGAGACGCTCCCTCGCATACCCTCGCAGTCTCGTCACTCCTCGGTGCAACCCGACACCGTCCAGTCGGTGACCGAGAAGTTGACGTCGACCTCTCTCACCGCGCCGGGCGACATGGACGTCGATGCACCTGGCGAAATCGACCCCGACGCCTCCGAGCCGCAGGACCGCCAGGACACCCTCATGCGAACGCCCTCCCCCCCTCACCAGCCTTCGTCGCCTCTGTGTAAGTTCACCCCTATCGTATTGCTAACTTGACTAATTTGGACACAGCGACGCCGAGGGGCCCGCCGACAAAGAAGCAGAGGCGCGACCCTAGCCCGTCGGAACACGATTCGCCCTCCGGCAGCATGCTCAGTCGCCTCGGCCATCGCGAGCTCGAGCAGCGTGAGGAAAGCCCCGAGTCTCCCCTGGGCAGCGCCGCCGACGCCCGTCAGAGCAAGCGTAACCTGAGGTCGTCCGGCCGCCGCGATGGCAGTGCCACACCGTCCACATCCGGTCAGTCCTCGGGCCAAGGATCTTCGTCGGGCAAGCGCGGTGGTGGCCGTGGTGGCCGTGGTGGTCGCGGTCGCGGTCGCGGTCGGGGAAAGGCCGCGTAATCGTCTGTCTACGCACTGAGTATCTGTATTGTACAATGTATCACGTCGCAATCTCACGAACTTTATGATGCAACATTTGAGTGAAGCCCCGCGTGCATGAGTAAATGAATGAGTTGTGAGATTTGTCACAGACCGGAAACACGTAGCGCGCGGCGCACACGACAGTGTGGCAAGGGTGCGAGGGATGTGAGTCCCAGACTCACAGCCGC